ATTTGTATTGATATGGTGGGATCGGGCTGCACGCCGCAACAGGCGAAATAAGGATGGATTGATACGGTGAAATATGGGTAAATTATGATACTGATTTTTTTATATGGTGTGTTCAGGTTGTGCGCCGCAACATATATTTATTTGTTTATGATTGTGATAATATTACGGTGGAATAAGGGAGGATTGTGCTATACGGTGGGATCGGGTTGTGCGCCGCAATAACCTATGTACTTTTATTTCTTTGTACTGTGTTGGTTCTTAGTATTTCATACGGAACTCTAATGATTGGTAATTCTAATCAGTACTGGTTTTCGTTTGAGGATATTTTCTTCAATTAACTGTCTTATTTCGTTCTGTATTTTTCCTTCTCATGTTTTATTATATACTGCGTATGGGTTGTAGTGTAAGTGACATGCCTTAGCCTCGTCGCTACTTCGTCGAGGTTAGGCTCTGCACTTACAGAGTACATGGGGTCGGTTGTACTCATACTACAGAAGTGCAGATATCGGAGTCGGTCCTAGCGGCGATTATTAGCATGCTCGGATTGACCAGCTTCGTGGAGACTTGAGGTACAACTGCTCAGCGTCTGCAGCTCCTAGAGTCCCCTTTCCTTTTTATTTAACTGTGTACTTTCCTTCAGACGACTTTATGTTTCATTCAGACCTTTATTTGTACCATTCTAGTAGGTCATGCACTTGTGACACCGGGTCCAGGGTTGTATAAGATATTTGAGTTGCTATAGGTTCCGCACTTTACTTTGGATTATTACAGTTATTTTAATTCTTTCTTATTACTTAATTTGAACCGTTGAAAATGGATAGATTATTCTAATGCTGACTTGCCTAGCAAGTGAAATGTTAGGCGTCATTGCAATTTCGAGAATGAGAATTTCAAGTCGTGACAAAAATAAAAATCATTAATGTAGTGGGAGAAATATTTACTGAGACATGATACTCACATCAATCATTAAATATCATACTTAAATGTAAACTTGGGTATAGATAAGTTTTGTTTTTTCATTTGTAGAAAACAATGATCCAAGAAATGCAAAAGAAGGTAATTTTTTGTTTGATTATTTGATATTCATATTCCTCTAACCCGATTAATTTTGATTCTCACCGGATAGACCAATTAAAACGATAAAGCGCTCTCTGAAATATTCGAAGAGATAAATGCCTCCTTGGCCATATATTTTTTTTAGTTAATAGATATTGTTTCGATAGCCAATTGAACGAAAAGACCAAGATTTAAAGATTAACGAAATAAAACCTATTTTTGCCTTGCGAAAAAGGTTCTGGTATTTGAATAAAAAATTTAATAGGAAAGAGTACACGCTAAAAAACAGATTATGATAATTAACACAAGTCATCAAATTTTAACTTTCATACCTCTATAATTCTTAACTATTGATATATTCTAACGGAGAATTATTATCCGACATAATCTCTTCGCCTTTTTGTATTGCTAAGTTTAAAATGTTATTATATCTTTGAGTTGAGAGTTTTTTTTTTTGTCTTAGAAAATGACATTTTTTAATTATATTAAACAACCATATGTAGAGAGACACACAATTCAGCTCCTATTTTGGCTATTAGTTTATGTTAGGTCTTTCGCTAGATATTGTCATGCCTTTTCGTGATTTAAAAATAAAAAAATAAAAAGAGAGAAGAGGGCACACGATTCTGTCCGTACCCATTATTTTAGTGAAGAGCACAGTTATAATTAATCTAGAGAATTTGTCTATGATAGGCCGATTACTTTTGAATATAGTAATATAACGTAGCAAATTGTCCTATCTAATCACAATCATTTGTGAAAAACGAAACAAACGAAACAACCCACCAATTGCAGTCACTTCGCTTCATTTTTATGTTTTCTTAAATGGGATATAATATAATATACTAGTATAATGGAAATGCTTAGGTGAATGTAATAGTGATATAAATCCTTAATTGCTAAAGGCGTTTTACATAAGTTGATTTTCTGTCACCTCCGTTTTTATAATGTCTCTGTTTTAATTTAGGTGAACTGATTTGATTGTGCACAAAATTTAAGGAAAAAAAAAACTTTTGAATTTGTGATGTAAATGAATCATATAAATTTTATGTGGCTATAAATCATTGCATAAAAGTAAATTATTTTCAAATATGAAAATAAGTCATTCTTTTGGACAAGACTAAAAAGAAAATAGATTTACATAATTTGAAACTGATGGAGTATTTGATAATTTTTTTTAGTATGTAAATAACATCCTATTTGGTTTATGCTATTATAATTATATTGTTGTAAACAATAAAATAGTAAACTTTCTGAAATAAAACCAGAAATAGAAAGTTTTTAAAATAATCCGGGAAAGAAAACGGACCGGACCGAATAGGGTCGCGGGTCATGGGTTATTCCGGATTGAATTTTCATTAACTTAATTTAATTAATTAATTAAATAATTGAAAAGAATTTTATCCAAAAGATTAATCAATCAATCTTTGACCAAATCCGAAGCCGAAGCCGAAATCGGAGCCGAGCAAGCGACGACGACGAAGGCGCGAGGCTTTCCTTCTTCTTAACTCTTTAAGAGCTAAAAGATGAGCTTCTATATATATACACAAAGATTTTCTTTCCTTCTTTCAATGAGGGACAAGGTGCATTAGTAAAGTGAACTAGTTCAAAATTTCACTTCCGTCCATTTTTTTCCCACCATTTTTCATTCACTCTTCTTTTGTTATTAATAACAAAACCCAATAATCCCTCACATGAACGGGGAATGGCTATAAAATAAAGGAATGCACGGACGCGTGTGTGTTTTACATGCAAAAATTAATTGCATCTGGATAAGTATGTTTCCCATTGAACTTTTCGTAGTGAACTTATATCGAATATACTCGGTCAGTTGGTAGATTTGATATCTTTGAACCGTCGAGCTTTGTTGTATACCTAGACAATATAAGTCACACAATCAATCCTTAACCATCTATGGTTCTGACGGTTGTGTTCGTTTCAACCATGAACACCGCCTAGTTTCATGAGTGCTTAGAGAATGGGCCTTTACTTTCATTCCCCTTGAAGCGGCTTACACTTCACACTCACATAGGTGATTTCTAAACGTGTAATCCTAAAGACACACTATCTGGTCATATCCTGCCAGACTTAGCAAATCATTAAAAAGCTTTAAGCTTTATTGACTCATCAAAAAACCTTAATGTTTTATTTCGTTTTTTGAACATTGTCTTCATCACGAGAATGGGTTGAGTTATTTGACAATGTTGAACTGTCTTTCATAACTTTGTTTGATCTCTTTTTGAACCTAACTCTTGGGATCTCAAGTCTGCTAGGTAGAGTTACCATCATGATGACTTGTCCTAGGCCTTAACCCCATTTCCTTTGATGATCTTTCAACTGCCTCTCTAGATAGACCTTTTGTAAGTGGATCTGACACGTTATCTCTTGATTTTACGTAATCAATTGTGATAACACCACTAGAGAGTCGTTGTCTAACTGTATTATGTCTCCGTCGTATATGACGAGATTTTCTGTTATACATAACGCTCCCTTCCCTACCTATTGCCGCTTGACTATCACAATTTATACAAATAGGTGCCAAAAGTTTGGGCCAAAATGGAATATCTTCCAAGAAATTTTGGATTCATTTAGCTTTTTCACTGGTCTTATCTAAAGCTATGAATTCAGATTCCATTGTAGAACGGGCGACACAAGTTTGTTTGGATGATTTTCAAGACACTGCTTCACCCCTAATTGTGAAAATATATCCACTCGTGGATTTAACTTCAGATGATCCGGTGATCCAATTTGCATCACTATATCTCTCGATCACGGGACACGGTGGGTTGCTCTGATGGTAAGAACCCTCCACTTCCAACCAAGAGGTTATGAGTTCGAGTCACCCCAAGAGCAAGGTGGGGAGTTCTTGGAGGGAAGGATGTCGAGGGTCTATTGGAAACAACCTCTCTACCCTATGGTAGAGGTAAGGTCTGCATATACACTACCCTCCCCAGACCCCACTTGTGGGATTATACTGGGTTGTTGTTGTTGTTGTATATCCCTCAATCACGGAGGGATATTTGTTATAATGCAAAGCATAATTTTGGGTATATTTCAAATACCCCAAAACTTATTTTATTGCCATCCAATGTATTTGATTGGATGACTTGTAAACCGACTCAGTTTAGCAATAGCACAAGCTATATCTGGTCGCATACAATTCATGATATACATCAAACTTCCTAATACTCTTGCATAGTCCAGTTGTGAGTCACTTTCACATTCATTCTTTTGAAGTGTCACGTCAATTAGAGTCTTGGCAATTTTGAAATCCAAATACTGGAACTTGTCAAGTACCTTTTCAATGTAGTGAGACTGTGATAATGTCGAACTTGTCAAGTCCCAATCAATGGAGTCTTTTGAATTCTGATTCCTAAGATCACATCAGCAACTCCTAAGTCTTTCATGTCGAATTTGCTAGCCAACATGCGCTTTGTAGCATTTTTATCTGCCATACTTTTGTTTATTATCAACATGTCATCAACATATAAACAAACAGTGACTTCATGACCTGTAGTATTTTTAATGTAAACACATTTGTCACACTTGTTGATTTAAAATCCACTTGCCAACATTATTTGGTAAAATTTTGCATGCCATTGTTTGGTTGCTTGTTTAAGTCTATAAAGTGACTTAACAAGTTTGCATACTTTCTTTTCTTTACCAGGAACCACAAAACCCTCAGGTTGTTCCATGTAAATCTCTTCCTCCAATTCTCCATTTAAGAAAGTTGTTTTAACATCCATTTGATGGATTTCAAGACCATACACGACCGCTAGTGCCACTAACATCATAATAGATGTTATCCTTGTTACTAGCGAGTAAGTGTCAAAGTAATCAAGGCCTTCTTTTGGTCTATAACCTTTAAAGTATGCTCAACCTCGGAGGCTCGATCAAATGGGTCATTGACACTACCTTTGCTTCATCCATGCCCTCATAATATTTTAATCTGTGTCGTTGACTCTGAACGTGCGAGAGTCATTATTCGCAGCAATCTGTACGGCACCTGTGGGGTGAATTTCAACCACACAAAAAGGCCCTGACCATCGTGATTTCAATTTGCCCGAAAATAACCTTAATCTTGAGTTGTATAGCAACACCGTATCTTCAGTTTTAAAATTCCGCTCAATAATATTTCTATCATGTATCATCTTCATTTTCTCCTTGTATAATCTCGTGCTCTCAAAAGCATGATATCTGAACTCATCAAGCTCGTGTAACTTTGTTACTCTACCTGTTCCCGCAGCTTCAATATCAAGACAACTGTCTCAATGCCCACTAGGCTCTATGCTCCAAGTCTACCGGTAAATGACACGACTTCCCAAACACCAACTTGTATGGAGACATGCCGATTGGATTTTTGAAAGCGATTCGATAAGCCCAAAGTGCATCATCTAATTTCCTTGCCCAATCTGTTCTAGTAGCATTCACAGTCTTAGTCAACATGCTCTTTATTTCTCTGTTCGAGACTTCCACTTGCCCGCTTGTTTGTGGATGATATAGGGTGGCCACCTTGTGGTATACATCATACTTCTCCAATAACTTTGCGAAGACTCGATTACAAAAGTGAGTGCCTCCGTCACTGATTATTGCCCTTGGGGTGCCAAATCGGGTGAATATGTTCTTTATCAAAAAGCCAATTACCCATTTGCATCATTTGTAGGGAGTGATGCAGCTTCTACTTATTTGTACACGTAGTCCACAACGACGAGTATGTATTTGTTGCCATATGAGCTGACGAACGGCCCCATAAAGTTGATCCCCCAAACGTCAAACACTTCTACCTCCTCAATTGGGTTCATTGGCATCTCATGTCTGCGGGAAATGTTCTCGGTTCGTTGGAATTCATCACACCCCTTTATCCATAGATGTGCATCTTTGAACAGTTTTGGCCAATAGAACCCCGAATCCAAGACTTTCGCAGCTGTCTTCACTCCCCCAAAGTGCCCATCATATGGTGACGCATGACAAGCCTGCAAAATAGAAGACTGATCTATCTCAGGGATAAATCTTCGGATCATGTTATCAACACAAATCCTAAACAGATAAGGCTCATCCCAATAATACATGCGACAATCACGAAAGAACTTTTTCTTTTGAACAGAAGAAAGGTCATAAGGAACAATACCGCTCACTAGGTAGTTTGCAATGTCTGCATACCATGGCGCTTCCTCGAGACTCGTGGCTAGTAGTTATTCATCTGGAAAAGTTTCCAGAATCTCTTCTACCTCAACCTTCTTTTCAGCTCCTTCCAGCCTGGATAAATGGTCAGCTACTTGGTTCTCCATTCCCTTTCGGTCACGGATCTCCAAATCAAATTCTTGCAGCAATAGCACCCATCGAATCAGGTGCGGTTTTGACTCTTTCTTCTCAATTAAGTACCTGAGAGCAACATGGTATGTATAAACAATTACCTTTGAGCCTATCAGGTAAAACCTGAACTTGTCAAACGCGAACACCACTACCAATATCTCCTTTTCGGTCATAATGTAATTCAACTGGGCTCCACTCAACATCCTACTTGCGTAGTATATTGGATGCATGATTTTATCTTTTCGCTGCCCAAGCACTGCTCTCACAGTGTTGTCACTAGCATCACGCATCAGCTCAAACAGTTGCTCCCAGTTGGGCGCAACTATGATAGGTGTTGTCACCAGTCTTTTCTTTAATTCCTCAAAAGCTACCCTGCAGTCATCAGAAAACATAAAAGGGTGATTTTTTTCAAGAAATTTACACAAGGGGTTAGCAATTTTGGAAAAATCTTTTATAAATCTCCTATAGAAACTGGCATGCCCAAGAAAACTTCTGATTGCTTTGACTGAAGTGGGTGGTGGAAGCTTTTCTATCACATCAACCTTTGCTCGGTCCACCTCAATACCTTTACTTGACACTAGGTTCCCCAAGACTATACCTTCTTGTACCATGAAATGGCACTTTTCCTAATTGAGTACCATATTAGTCTCGATACATCTTTTCAAAACTCTTCTCAAGTTCACAAGGCAATCATCGAATGAGTTCCCCACCACTGAGAAGTCATCCATGAAAACCTCCATTATCTCCTCTACAATATCTAGCTGGCCATCATGCACCTTTGGAATGTGGCAGGCGCGTTACATAGGCCAAACAGCATTCGCCGAAAAGCATAGATTCCATAAGGGCAGGTGAACGATATTTTCTCTCTATCCTCTGGGGCAATAGAAATATGATTATACCCCGAGTACCCATCCATAAAGCAAAAATGAGACCTCCCTGCCAATCTATCTAGCATCTGATCAATGAATGGTAGTGGGAAATGGTCCTTCCTGGTAGCCAAGTTCAACTTCCTCTAATCCATACAGATTTGCCAACCTGTGACTATTCGTGTAGAGATCAATTCGTTCTTCTCATTTTTCACTATCGTCATACCTCCCTTTTTTTTGGTACACACTGAACTAGGCTAACCCAGTTACCATCAGAGATGGGGAATATGATTCCCGCATCTAACCACTTGATCATTTCTTTCTTCACCACTTCTTTCATGTTGGGGTTCAGCCTTCTTTGATGTTCTCTGAAAGGTTTGTGCCCATCTTCCAATAAAATCTTATGCATACAGAAGGCCGGGTTGATCCCCTTAATGTTTGCAATGGTCCACCCAATTGCAGTCTTGCACTCAGTCAGTACATGCAAAAGCTGTTCTGCCTGCACATCTAACAAACTGGATGAGATAATAACATGTAGAGTTGAGTTAGGTCCTAAGAATGCATACCTGAGATGAGATGGCAGTGGTTTTAGTTCCAACTTTGGTGGTTCTTCAATCGATGGCTTAGCTGGGGGAGTTTTTCTTTCCTCTAAGTGCAAAGGCTCAAATTCGAGCTCCCTTTTCCAAAAACCTTGGCCTTCAAGAGCAAGTACCCACTCTGTCAAGTCTTCACCATTAGCTTCATCTAAGTTCATGAAACAAGCTGCTAGAGGGTCTTTAATGTTCAATGCCTCATCTTCCTCCTCCAAGACTACATCCATCGCATCTATTAAAGAGCAATTAGCAAATTCACTTGGTCTCCGCATTTTTGCACATTGAATGTTATCTCTTCATCGTTTAATCTCATCTTGAGCTCTCCAGTTTCATAATCAATTAAGGCTCTCCCATTGGACAAGAACAGTTTTCCCAAAATTGTGGGAATTTCCTCGTCAACCCGACAGTTAAGGATGACAAATTCTGCTGGAAATACAAACTTCCCAACCTGCACCAATACATCATCTAGAATCCCAAAGGGCTCTTCACGGTTCGATCAGCCAGTTGTAATAACATAGACGTGGGTCTAGGTCTTCCAATGCCTAGCCTTTTGTAGATGGCTAGTGGCATAAGATTTATGCTAGCTCCCAGATGACACAGTGCCTTAGCAAAAGCAAAGTTTCCTATTGTGCAAGGGATTGTGAAACTCTCTGGATCAGAAAACTTCTTGGCTATGAGTCTCGTCACAACAGCACTGCATGTTTGAGTCAGTGTAACCGTGTCCAAGTCTTGATAGTCGAACTTGCGGGACATCAAGTCCTTCATCATATTTGCATACCCAGGCATTTCTTTTAAAGCATCAATCAATGGAATGTTTACCTGAATTTGCTTTAAGATCTCCAAAAATTTCTTGTACTGCTCATCTTTCTAATACTTGGCCAATCTTTGTGGGAATGGTGCTGGAGGTCACTTTTTCCCTGTGATTTAGTTTTTCTCTTGTTCAGGCACTGGTTCTACTGTCAGTTCTGGTACAACTTCAGTCTTTTTCTCAACCTCATCTTCCTTATTGTTGTTTTCTTGTCATTCTGTTCTGTCACCTCAGTTAAACCTGTTGAATCATCTATCTCAATGGGTACTGGCACCAGTGTCTCCGTCGGCCTGCTTTCGCGAGCAATTTCTTGCTCCAGATCTAAGTCCCTACCATTTCGGAGACTCACTGCCATCAGTTGCTTCGGGCCATGCTTTTTTGGATTGATTTGGGTGTATGCAGGTAACGTCCCATGAGGACGATTATTTAGGGCCATGGAAATCTGTCCTAACTGGATCTCAATATTCTTAATCGTTGACTCATGTGAGTCTACTCTATCATCTAGTTTTCCAGTGGTCCTAATCACTTGTTGCATTCATACCCTCGAGTTTAGCAAACCCATCTTCATGCCTCACAATCTGTTGTTGTTGAGGTTGTTGATAAGCCTGCTGCTTATTTTGCTGGTTGTACCCTTGTTGCCTTTGGTAAGGCACCATTTTCCCTTGTGGTCGCATAGCCCCATGGTTATTGTTGTTATTGTGCTGCTGCTGAGCTGGTCTGTATTGTTGATTTTGCTGACCCTAAATTGACCACCTAGTCTCTGTCCCCCGTAGTTGGCCATATAATTCATGTTCTCCTAATACTGTTGATTCTCACCTTCAGCACTCCATGAGAAAATATATGGTTGATTAATGCATGATGTACAGAGACCCCCATTAGTTGCATCAACTATGTGTACCTGCTGCTTCTGGCCTGATTCTTCCACCTTTTTGGTGAGGATGCTCATCTGCGTCAGTAGAGTGGCCATATTTTCAGCCATGGAGTTAGCCGAATCTAGAGCCACTGAGTGCACCACAGGAGTGATTGAAGCGTTCCTTGTTGTCCATCTTGAGTTTTGTGCCATCTTGTCAAGCAGGATCTTGCTCTCTCTGAATGTCTTGCTCAAAAATGCTCCACGTGCAGAAGTATCAACATTTGCTTTCAAAGTATTTGCTAAACCCATGTAAAATCTCTGCCCCAACATCTACTCCGAAATACCATGATGTGGACATGTAACCAGCAGACCCTTGAATCTCTCCCACGTTTTATGTAGCGTCTCAGTTGGTCTCTGTTTGAAGCTTAATATCTCATCAATTTGCTGAGAAGTCTTGTTGCGTGGATGAAATTTGCTCAAATATTGCTTGAATAATTCCTCCCAAGTAGTGATGGAGTTGATAGGGAGTGAACTAAGTCAAGTCTGGGTTGCTCCTATCACTGAGAATGGAAACAACAACAAACATATTGCTTCCAATGTCACATTGTGTTGTTTTTGCGTGGCACAGATTGAGAGGAAGTTCTAAAGATGCTGCTGAGGATCTTCAACGTATGACCCAAAGAGTAGTCCCTCGTTCTGCAACAGATGTAGCATGTTATTTGTGATTATCATTTTCCATGTCTGGTTTAATTATTTCAGTTGAGTTTTGTTGTTGTTTACCTTTCCTTTTTGCACGGTTCAATGCCTTGAACACCTTCTCAGGATCTGATAATGCTTCGAACAATTCTCCAGTTCTTGAGGAGTTTCTAAGCATGCACCTGTGACAACCACGACTACAAACGTTAGAATTTCAATAATCAGTTTAAATTGAAGAAAATTGACTACACTAAAAAATTTTGCACTTCTTTTTAACTGCAATCAATAACACCGTTAATTCCCCGGCAATGACGTCAAAATTTGATCACGCCCAACTATGTCTTATAAAAAGGACAAAGCGGTCGCTACAAATATATTCCGGCTAACAAGCCCGGATTCGAATCCCACAGGGAACTAACCTATCAATCACAACTATTGGACTCACAGAAATTCACGTATTCAATCTTCAAAAATATTTGAGTAACAAATTGGATGTTTATTTGTAACGACCCGGCTGGTCATTTTAAGAATTAACACCCCGATCCCCTATTAACTGCTTTCCCCGTGTTTATTTTTGCTATTTTAATTTGCCGGTATGTTTTGCTTTGAATTTCGGAGTGTTTTGGGATACTTAGTCCCTGAAAGAGAGCTTAAGCTTTAAAATTTGGAACGTAGTCGGAGCAGTATGAAGACGGACTTGGAATGGAATTTTATCGGTTCCATTAGCTCCATTGGGTGATTTCAGACTTAGGGGCGTGTTCGGATTGTGTTTTGGAGGTCCGTAGCTTATTTATGCTTGAAATGCCGAAAGTGGAATTTTTGAAGTTTCTAGTTCGATAGTAAGATTTTGATATCGGGGTCCGAATGGAATTCCAGGAGTTGGAGTAACTCTACAGTGTTGAATGTGACGTGCTTGCAAAATTTTAGGTCATTCAGATGAGGTTTGATAGACTTTTTGATCGAAAGCGTAATTTGAGAGTTTTTAGAATTCTTGGGCTTGAATCCGATGTTAAATTGGTGTTTTGATGTTGTTTTGAGCATTCCGAAGGTTGGAACAAGTTTGAATGATGTTTTAGGATTCGTTGGCATGTTTGGTTGAGGTTCCGGGGGCCTCGGGTGTATTTCTGATGCTCAACGGACCATTTTTGGACTTAGAAAAGGATCAGATTTTTACTGGTTTTCTGTTGCAGACTTTTTTTCATCGCAATCGCGTAAGGAGGCTCGCGATCAAAAAGGCTTAGATGAGGCAGATGGGATTTTATTCAACAGGATCACAGGAAAGGGAGTGCGAACGCGTAGTATTGGCAGAAGTTGAATCGCGAATGCGTGGGCTATGCCGCGTTCACGAAGAGGAAGAAGTGTGGAAGCTGAGGAGTGGAAGTTGCTCTTCATGATCGCGTGGGGTCAGCCGCGATTACGTAGAGCTGAGCAGTAGAAGCATCGCGTTCTCGGAAGATTCCATGCGATCATATGTATTGTCCTGGTTTGTCTTAGAGATGCATCGGTTTTATTCGATACAGGTTCCACCTACTCTTATATGTCTTCTTTTTTTGCCCCGCGTTTGGGTGTATCTCGGTTTTCTTTGAGTTCCCCTATTTATGTTTCTACTCATATAGGAGATTCTCTTGTTGTGGACCGCGTTTATCGGTCGTGTGTGGTTGCTCTTAGTTGTTTTGAGACCAGAGCCAATTTATTATTGCTTAGCATGGTAGATTTTGATGTTATCTTAGGCATGGACTGGTTGTCGCCCCATTATTCTATTCTTGATTGTCACGCCAAAACCGTGACGCTGGCCATGCCAGGTATACCGCGAGTAGAGTGGAGGGGTACCTTAGATCATACTTCTAGTAGAGTTATTTTATTCCTTAAGGCTCAGCGTATGGTTGAGAAGAGGTGTGACGCGTATCTAGCTTATGTGAGAGATGTCAGTATTGATACCCCTACAGTTGAATCAGTCCCAATAGTACGGGATTTTTCTGATGTGTTTCCACCTGATCTTTCGGGAATGCCGCCAGATAGAGATATTGATTTTGGCATTGATTTGTTGCCGGGCACTCAGCTCATTTCTATTCCTCCGTGTCGTATGGCCCCTCTTGCGTTGAAGGAGTTGAAGGATCAATTATAGGAATTGCTTAATAAGGGTTTTATTCGGCTCAGTGTATCACCTTGGGGTGCTCCTATCTTGTGTTGAAGAAAAAAGGATGGTTCTATGCGTATGTGCATTGATTATTGCCAGTTAAACAAAGTTACAGTGAAGAACAATTATCATTTGCCTCGTATTGATGATTTGTTTGACCAACTACAGGGTGCACGAGTGTTTTCTAAGATTGACTTACTTTCAGGTTACCATCAGTTGAAGATTCGGGAGCCAGATGTCCCAAAGATTGCTTTCAGGATTCGGTATGGTCATTACGAGTTCCTTGTTATGTCATTTGGGCTAACCAATACCCCAACGGCCTTTATGCATTTGATGCACAGTGTGTTCTGACCATATCTTGACTCGTTCATCATTGTCTTTATTGATGATATTCTGGTATACTCCCGGAGTCGGGAAGATAATGAGCAGCACCTGAGGACAGTGCTTCAGACTTTGAGAGAAAAGAAATTATATGCAAAGTTCTCGAAATGCAAGTTTTGGTTGGATTCCATGGTGTTCTTGGTCCATGTGGTGTCGAGTAAGGGGATAAATGTGGATCCGAAGAAAGTGGAAGCAGTGCAGAGTTGGCCCAGACCATCCTCAACTACAGAGGTCCGCAGTTTTCTTGGCTTGGTAGGTTATTACCGTTGATTTGTTTAGGGCTTTTCATCTATTGCAGCACCTATGACCAGGCTGACTTAGAAGGGTGCTCCGTTCCAGTGTACGGAAGAGTGTGAGGCGAGCTTTCAGAAGCTCAAGCCAGCTTTGACTACAACCCCAGTTTTAATATTGCCTACAGGTTCGAGGTCTTATACTGTCTATTGTGATGCCTCGAGGATTAGCCTTGGAGTGATATTGATGCAGGACGGTAGGGTGATTTCCTACGCGTCCAAATAGTTGAAGGTACATGAAAAGAATTATCCTGTCCATGATCTCGAGTTAGCTGCTATTGTTCACGCCATGAAGATCAGGCATCATTTTTGTACGATGTGCCTTGTGAGATTTATACTGATCACCGGAGTTTGCAGCATCTGTTCAAGCAGAAGGATCTTTATTTGCATCAGAGGAGGTGGTTAGAGTTGCTGAAGGACTATGATATCACTATTTTGTATCACTCGGGCAAGGCCAATATGGTAGCCGATGCTTTGAGTCACCGGGCAAAGCGTTTGTGGAGTTTAACTTATTTACCAATAGCGGAGGCCCATGACGATGGATGTTCAGGCCTTAGCCAGCCAGTTTGTGAGATTGGATCTTTCGGAGCCTAGTCAGCTTCTAGCTTGCATGATTTCTTG